TCATTTCAAATTACATTTACCTGCAACACACGCCATTTAAATTTTTAAAAATTTGCCCACCTTGAAATTGAATGAGGTATCCTGCTGTAAAAATTACTAAAATTTTGTCGCTAGTTTTGTCACTAACAGTAATTGAAAGATACAACTACTAGTCTGTGCGCATTTTCACTGCTCCATTTACATGCCTTTGTTAGTTTTGAAAGAAAACTTATACAGGATTTTTAAAATATTACAATACAGAAAAAGTGTAATGTATTTTGTACGCAGACCAAAACGCGAAAGCAAAATCAACAAACTGTAAAACAATATACCATCCTTTTACATCGATTGCTAGTTCGGGAGGACCATTAATAATTATTTAACGGTGGTCCGCGGTACATCTTAGTGGTTCTATATATCAACAGAACACCGTTAATTAATAATGGAGAGATCAGTGTGATCCGTGCTTGTGTAATCAGATTTATAATTAATCGTGTGATTTTTTTTTAAATAAAATGTTAAGTTATATAAGAAATTTATACTAAATAAATTATTATTTCTTTCTTTATTAGTTTGAATTAAATTTATTACTGACCGAAATTTATATTTATATCTTTTAAGTGTTTTTTATTTATTATTTTTCTACAATTTCTAACCTTGTTTCGGTTAATTTTGGAGCGCCAATCAATGTCTTTCAAAGACATTGATTGACAGTCTTTTTTTTATCACACCCTTCTTGAAACAAGAAGATAAATTCTTACTTATATCCTCTCAACTTTTTTTTACTATATCAATGGCACGAAGCTGTCTCGCTTATGTCAGTAGTAGATGCCAGGATTTTCTATATCCTTACTTAACCAGAATTCTCCATCACAGTCCGATATCTTTCACAAATCCTATAAACGGAAATCAATTTAAGAAAAAGAATCGTACACTCAAGGAAAAATGTAATTTTTTTTTGATGTGGAGGTTCCTTATATACAGTTATGTCTGTTATAACACAATATTATTTTTTGGTTAAAAATTAGTTTGGTTTTAATATCTTAATGGGCTTGGATGTTGTTAAGCTCTGATACGAGTTTGAAAGAATGATCTAGTGACTACCTTATGGAACAATATTCATTCTAATGATTTATGCCATGATTTTTGAAATTAAACTAGTTTCAGATACAGTTTAAAATAGTGAAGAATAAGAAGGCGTTATGCAACATAATGTAATATATATATATATATATATATATATAGAAATAATGTAATGTAATAATAATACATATAAAATTTAATTTAATGAAGACTAATTTATAATGATTTAAAACGAGCCGCGATAGCTCAAGGGATAGAACGTTCGCCTTCCAATGAGGTGAACCGGGTACTAATCCCAACGATGGCTGATCGGTACGAATTCTGCATCCGACTAACACTGATCACAGTGCTGACGTAACCTAAATATCTTCAGTGGGAGACGGATCACGGGTTAGAGTCCTACTTGCCGTCAGGCTAACCGTTGGAGGTTCTCATGCTCTTCATTTTCATGTAACGCAAATGCGGGTTAGTTTCAACAAAAAAGTCCTCCACGAAGGAGAATTTCTCCCAATACTTGAGTCAGGAGTTCCCTTGTATTCTAAATTGGGTTCAAAACTACAAGACTACGGAGTTAAACATTAGTAATCGTTAACCCAAAATTGGGTAGGATGTTCAACGACGGTTATAAAATAAAATGAAATAATTTAGAATGTTTCAAGCTGAAATATAGAATGTTTCAAGCTAAAAAAACTTACTATAAGCTTTTAAATAGGTTTAAAAGTGTTTCCATATTTAAGGGAAATAGAATGAGAATACATATTACAAAATCAGCTTCTTGCACACCTGCGTGTTGTATAGCAATCCCATCATTCTATAAGTAAATGCGTATTTCTTCTGATTTCTTAATAATGTTTGAAAAGAGTTTTCCGAACAAACACACCTTATCAAATAGCAGTTAAAGTCTTTCCGATAAAAGACTGACTGATTCTATAAAACAAATTTCGTACTGTACGGCTTAAATAGCATTTAAGTTACAGCATATCAATAGCCAAGGCCGATGAATATACGCAAAGTATTATATTGGAGACATATCTTTAATCATGACTGAGCTAATAAACGTCCAAAAAGCAATGCAAAAAATGTAATGTAGGGGAGAGTCAGATAGCCCCGCCCAGCGGGTACCCCCGCCCACAGTCAATTTCATATGTTTAGAGTATTTTTCCAAGTCAATGGGCCATTGGACATTAATTGTTATATTAAAAAAATATTATTTTCAAAGTTTCAAGTATTTATGCAGCTGTTAACATGGTAAACAATAGTTTTGAAAATATGTTGAATACAGTAGTCATGAAATTAAGAAAAATTGGTTGAATGCTTCGATTAAACTTCATTTTAATAATAAAAAAATAACTTTTTCTATACATACAGCATTAAAGTGTGTAGTCTTAAGTTTAATTTGCACAAAGAAAGAAGTTTGTATGCGAAAAATTGTTCGAGTAATTAAAAATTTACAAAAAAATTGGATTTCGTGAAGCCTCGCTCACATGATTGTCGGGTATCACCGCCCAATTTTATTTCGTCGATGAATGTACGGTTGCAAAGATTATTATTTTATTGCTTCAAATTTGAGCGTTATATGCATTTTTAACAACAAATTTGTTGTTATTAAATGATTGTTATTAAATGATAGAATTCACTAAAAGTATATAAATATGTAATAAATAAAATAATTTTGCGATAAAAATGATAAATGAGGTTTATCTATTGTCAATACATTGGTCATTTTCATTTACACCTGAAAAAACAGTCAGAAAACACAATTTTTGTAACTGGGTGGGGCTACCCGACACATTTTGAAAAGAGCTGAAAAACATGTTTTTTTAAATTTCTATTTTTTTAAGTTAAACTATTCTTTTTTGGTTTATTCTTTTTGCATTATTTAATTGGATGATAAAATAATAGAAACATACAAAAATATTGATTATTACTCAATATTGTACAGAAATATAAGCAATACTCCTTAAGTGGGCGGGGCTACCCGACTCTCCCCCATGTGTAATTAAGTACATACAATTTTAAAAAAAAACTTTTTTCTTAACTAGTTTTAGTAAGAAATATTTTTTTTAATAGTTAATTCCTTGCAATAATTTATGATTCTTAGAATTTATATCTCAAGCTTAAGCATTTTGCTATAGCTTTTAAATAAGCATTGAAGTGTTTTCATATTCGAGAGAAACAGAATAAAGCATAATATATACAACAGTATCAGTTTGTTATGCGCCTGCGTGTCATATATTAATCCCATAATTTTATATGTGAATACGTATTTCGTATGTGATTTCTCATTAATATTTGAATAGAGTTTCCTGAACTAAGTTATATTCAGAAACAGACCTCGCCAAACACTAGTTAACGTCTTCTGCGATAAAAGCCTGACTGATTCTATAAAACGCAGGCTTACAAGAGAATGTCCAACTCTATGGCTTAGATAGCACTTAAGTTAGAGCATATTAGTCGCCAAGTCCGATGAATATTTGAATTCGATTATCTGCAAAGCATTATGGGGGCCATATCTTTAATTATGACTGAGCTAATGACGTGAAACAGCGGAAATCACAACGTGAATTTTGAACTGAGATTACTTTAATGGTAAGATCTGCATGTTGAGAAAGTTGGAATAACTTTTCAGAGAAATAATCGAAAAGCTAATGCATTGAATTTATAATAGCAGATATTATAGGACATTGCTGGTTTGATGTCGGATATAATTGTCCAAAAACGTAATATTTCGATAGAATTAGGTTTTTAATTCAATCGGGTGATTTTAACTTTCATCATTAAAATCATTACTTTTTTGTAAAATTTAGATAATTCTGTTTTTTATGTTACTAGTTTCCACCTTTTTAACTTTAAAGAAATAGTTTGAAGTAATTATTATATACAAAACACGTACAACGTAACGTGAATGTTGAACTGATATTTCTTTAATGGTAAGATTCCATATTTGAATGTTGAGGAAGTTGAAATTGGTTTTCAGAGAAATAATTGAAAAGCTAAATGCATTGAATTTATAATCCCTGATATTATAGGCTATTGTATGCTTGTTGTTAGATATAGTTGACTAAAAACGTTATATCTGGATAGAATTTTATTTTTTATTCGATCTGATGATTTTTACTTTCATCAAAAAATCTTTACTTTTTCGTAAAATTTAGATAATTCTTAATGTAGTTAGTTTCTATCTTTTAACTTCAAATAATTCCCTTGAAGTAATTATTATATCAAAATAGATTGCATGAACTTTAATAAGTTAAATTTGGCAATTTTTGAATAAAAAGGATTAATTTTTACTTGTGAAAACATAAATAAGAAATAGTGAAAATTTACACTCGTATGTTGCATTTATATTAACCTTCTCGTATTTAGAAATGAATTCTATTCATATTCGTAAAACTTACATGTGCAAATCTGGGAGAGAAATGACTGAATAGTTGCTGCTTTACTGGCCATATGTATATATATAGATATATATATTAAAAATATCTTATTTTATAATTTTTCTTCTTCTCTTTTCATTAATCTATATAAAATAATTTTGCTTCCTTTATTTGATGTATTTAGTGTATTTAAAACAAATTTAAGTTAGATTATACTTTTTTTCACCATCTTTTTACTAAAATAATAATCATGTGTTCTTAAGTAATTCCTTAATTTTCAAATAAAAAAATAAAATAAATAAAAGAAAACTATTCTACCTTAATCATAAAACACTGGGTCTGATGAAAAAAATTATATTCATAATTTTTCTATAAATGAATTACAGTTCAAAAACTTCTTTGACGATGATGTATAAAAATTATTTTACAAGTATTCGGTCATTTTTTGAAAAATAACAAGTGCATTTTATTATTGACTATGCATCAGTTATATATTTTATAAACTCTATGTTATAAATTATTAAACTATCATTTCAAATATTTGTCATTTTTTCTTTTTAGTTAAACGATGAAGAATACACGAGATTTTCTGTTAAAATTTGATGACCACAAGCAACAAAAGTCATATAAATGCACTAATCATGCTGAACAGTTTCTTCTTTCATTTTGGAGAATAATATTGAGCAGTATTTAAGTAAGAGAATCCATCTATATTTTATATAACTATATTTTGTTTTGTTTCATAAGTATAAAATAGAAAATAACACCTTACACATTAGTAAGCCAAAATTTACCTAGTTAGCAGTTACTTTTTCGCCATGAATATATACAGTATGAATGGAGAAAAAATTTCGTACTATATGGTAATAACATTTCTGTATAAAAAATTTTATTTCTGGTAGATGAAAACAAAATAGGCATTTAAACCATTCATTTGTTAATTTTCTGTTCACATAGTAGCGATTTACCGGAAATTTGAATTTTTTTCTAAATTATAGTTTTACTACCACACATTTTTGTAAATACATAACTGAAATACATAACTGAAAAGTACAAATTAATCGACTAAATAGTTTTATGATATGATCTAAGGTATCCTGGTAAAATTACCATTTTTTGCAGAGCATTCATCGAATTTTATCCCTTACTATAAAAATAGATTTTATTTTTAATCTTATCGAGATCATTACACAAGCACTTCGGAGCATTACCGTGCATTTCAATATACACATAGAGCCGGAAACACTGTAAATTTTATCATATTTAAGTTGTTTTGACCAGAATTTTCGCCCCAGTGCACAGTGAGCCAGAAGGCCATAATCTTTGGCCAAAAGTCAAAATTAAATTTTCAACTAAAATATCTGTAGGCAATTTTAATATCGCCCAAATTAAGTATTCATAATCATTCCAAACATTACAATTTATTTTTTGAACCGACAAAAGTGCAATGTAGTGAAAAATATGCTAAAAATGCTTTTTTTAATGTGACTTTTAAATTTATATTTCAGAAATATATATATGAATTTCACCTTACTGTTGCATATTTATCAGAGTAATTAGTCTGAAATTGTAGTACAATTTTTCAATTTGTTGGATTAGTTAATACTCTTGACAAACTTATAGTTTATATCTTATCATTTGACATTTTACAATGTTTGACTTATCTCCAAAAATTTCCACTAGGTAATTAGCTAAACTTTTTTTTGTTGTCTTCTTTGATGTTTCTTCTTTCGAAAAAACCTGCCCCATTTTGCCCATATTGCAAAGGTGAACTAAATATACCGAAAAACAAAAATTATGTTTTTTTTTTTTATGTTTTCGCGTTATTTTGTAATATTACTTCGGAAATATAATTTGCTTTTCCTTTTTAATATAAAATTACAAAAATTATTATATTTCCATTGCTATATTTAATTATTTGAACGCACTATATTATTTTTTGTATTTTTTAGCACGCCATATTTCAACCGCCATTTTGTTTGTTTTTTTGGAATTTTTAGCGTATTTCAAAATTTCAACTATGAATTCAATTTATCTGCACGTAAAAACTCCCAAATTTTGAAACAAATTTAAATACTAATTTTGGCCACGAAACCTTGGATGCTGGCCCACTGTGCACTGTAGATTGTTTTACAGGGTGTGTTTTGTAACTATCATCATTAATGCATATTTTTTTATTAAAATAGAAACTAATACCGTAATTGGAAGAAGAAAAAAACTATAACAAAATTAAAAAACTGTAATGATAAATTGTAACCGAGATCAATAAAAGGAAATGTTATTATAACTATCATAACCAGTTTATTTGACAGATAAAAATGAGCTTTTTTTAATTATTGGGATATCTTCTAATTACGTCTAATAATTAGCGAGAAAGACACAAATATTAGTTAATGTATTTTGGAAACATCGAAATTAAAAATTTGAAATATCTTTTTAGCATCGATAAAAGTGTAAATATAAACGTCGACGTTTATATTTTCTCAAAATCTAAATACAGCTAGTTACTAACAAATAAACATATTTATATTTTTAACAAATAAAATAGTAGTAAATCAAATAACTTATATTACATTGATTAAAAATTACGTAATTAATTATTATTTCGTAAAAGATTTTCCATTTTTGGCACTGTAATTAATTGCCTAGATATTCATTGAACTTTTGCGTTTAAACATTTACATTTTGTTCAAAATTTAACATTTGATTTTCGATTTTTGAAATTATCTTTATAAAGTTTACTTACAAAATCTAAAATTAATAATTTAAAATTGTATTAAAATTATTTTTATGGTTTAATCAAAAATTAATAGTTTACTTTCAGATTCTCTAATTTTATTGTCTCTTTAAAACATGGATCGAAAACGAACAGTACATAAAACTTCGTATTTATCTGTGAAATAATTAAAATAAATAAATAGAAGGAAAAAAAATTAAAACTATGGGAAATTATTTTTAGACCAGTACACACAACTAATATTCACAACTAATACAATTGATTTGGACTTTAGTATACTAACTGAGAATTTGTTACTAGAGTTTTAGTTTTTACTTTAAAATTTACACAGGCTTATAATTTAAAAAACTTAATTTCATTTCAATTAAAATCTAATACTTGAATGTATAAGAAGAATTTTTTTTAAGATTTTAACAGTTTGAAATGAAACAGTAGTAAATTTAGCCTTCAGAAAATCTTTTAATTGATCTCAAACAACCGTCAGCAAAATTAGAAGTGAGAGTTTTATCAGTTGGCATGCTTTTTAAAAAATTAAGGAACACTTTTTTTCGACAGAATTGATTATGTAGGGGAATTGTAACATTTTTCACTTAACTATTTTTAACTGAAAAAAAATCCAATATATTATTAGTATTAATTGACAGACGAGTAAAGTAGACTATCCTCTAGTAGAAAAAAAAAACCTTATTTTAAATGTAATTATATTAGTTATTAACAATTTTTGAGAGTCGTGTACTTGTTACAATTGTCCCCACTTATGGGATCAATTGTAACAGTTTATAAATTCAACTAAAACATAGTTAGTTATGCATATTATCATTGTTGTGATATATTTTTTTATTGATCAAAATAGTAGTAATATTTTAGGAGTAAAAATAATAATGAGCAGAGACCTAAAGGGTTAAACTTTTAACTTTAAGGGGTTAAAAATTTTAATTTATGCTGTGAAAGGTGACAAGTAAAATAATGCACATGCAACATAATATTAATGATATAGGAAACTATTTGTGGTTTTTAAAGAGTTAAGTAATGGTTTGTAAACATAAGAATATTTATTTTCAGCTGTTGCAATCGTCCCTTTATTTATTGTTACAATCGTCCCCAAGACGCCATTTCAGCTTCGCTTGTTAAAACCAATGCTAGTTAATTAACAAAACTAATCTTTTTTTTTAAATGTTAATTAAGGTGTNCTGACTAAAAAAAGACCAAGGGCAACATGCACAAACAGCTAACTTCATTAACCTCCGCAGAAAGCCTGAGGGAAAAAGCAAGAAAAACACATTAGCAGGCCCCCATAGTGCAATTTAATATTAATTAGTGCATATTTAAACTATCAGCAGGGGTGTACATGTAGATTTATTAAATACACCTTGTGCGCCACCTAGGAACCAAATATGGAACCCGACACTCGAAATTTTTGCTCTGTTACATTCGTACCCTGTCACAATTGACCCCACTCTCCCCTACAGAGCGAAGGTTTATTTCACAGTGTAATTTATTTTATAAGGCAATAGAGGATCTAAGTTTTAACTAAAAGCATTTTTTTCTTCCAAGAACATTTTTTTTTATTCCTTATTCAACACATCGTTAATTCTATCGAAACTGAGTGCGTGAAGTTTCAGTAAGATTGGTTACTTAATTTTTTAAGAAATCGCCCGAGAAAATAGTTTTCTCTGATAGGACATGTCCCCCGCGATGTTTTCCAAAAAGCAGTTTCGACGGCAAATCTCTTATAATTGATAAAATTTTTATTTGAATATTTTCAAATGCTCTCTTCTTATAAACTTAAAGATCGTAGCTATTAAATAAAAAAAGTTTAAAAATTTTTTTCAATTTTTGCTCTTCCAAACATCTGCAACTACTTACATACATAAAAAAAGCATTAAATTGATTTGATGTTAAACTTATTTTTTCTACTATTAAAACTGTTCCCCTTTATTACACTCCAATTTTGATACTAAGACGTTTCTTAGAATGTAGCCTCTTTCTTTATTTTGCACAGCAGCTTAAAAAACTGTAATTTAAGCAGATATCTCTTTTTTGCTTAAAAATGCTTGTGCATATAAAATATACAGTAAAAAAAGGATGCTTTTCAATTCCTGCATGGATGAAAAATGCTTTGAAACTGGGTGTCATTATCAATTTTTATTGCAATAAAATCCTTTTTCTACATATTTAATTTTTCTCAACAACAAAATAAAATCTTAATGGAACTCAAAAATTAATAAAAATATTTTCTTCTTTCTCAACGAGTTGCAAAATATGGAGCTCTAAGAATATTTGAAAGCAACAGCAATAAAAACCAATCAAAGTATAAAAGTCTAATTGAAAAACAATAAAACAAATTTGAGAATTTTTTATAATATTATATTTAAATAATAAAAAATTCTTAAAGATTTGGGGATTTGTTTAGTGTTTCGAATACTTTTTTTCTTATATGTTTGTCTGGAACAGTTTTACCATTATAGTAGCTTAGTTTACAGAATCCATTAAAGTTTTTTAATTTGTAATATAAAAACCTAAAAATAAATTTGCAGTTATTTAAACAGTTTATAGAAACCTGTGTTTTCATTCTTATTTTTTATTTTTCAAGACTAAAGTAAAAGAAGTATTGTGAAGAAAAAATATATTATATATAATATAATGTATAATATATATAATATAATACATAATATATATAATATAATATATAATACATATAATATAGATACATAATATAATATATGATAAGAATATTTTTCAACCTTATTCTTGAGCATGATGCACATGCAAATAAAACTTCTGCAACTTAATACTTTTCAAAACATTAGCGAATAAGTGTTGTGAGAATGAAAATATAAACTGGAACTTTTATTCTATTGTTCAAAGTTAATTTACGATGAACAGTTGGTAAAATAAAAGATAAAGAAAATCCATTTTAATAACATTTGATTTAATGATCAAAGATTGCTTTGCAA